CTCAATCGTGGCATATCGGGTCTCGGCGTCCGTCAGGAACCGGGATCCACACTGAACTAAGCGGAGTTGTCCACCGCCATGGTCCTGCAGAAGGGCGTAACAAACGCCATAGAGTCTGGAGGCGTCAGTCTGGAGGACGGTGGGTAGGGCTAGGTTGTAACAGGCGAGGACAGGTGGACTTAAGAGGGCCTGCTTGACTCGCTGGAATGCTTCTTGATGATCTGAGGTCCACAGGAATGTCCTCCTGGGGCTCAGCAGGGGGCGCAACGGCTGGGCTGCGGCAGAGATGTCAGGTGAAAATTCAGCCAGCTGATTCACCAGACTCAAAAAAGAACGGAGGTCTGTCAGGTTGGCAAGAGTTGGAAAATCCCTGATTCCACTTAATTTCTCCGGGTCAGCTGCGATACCTGATGCTGAGAGAGTGTACCCACAGAAGTTCACTGATGGTGCGGTGACTACAAACTTGTCAGCGTTGAGGGTAATCCCATACTTTCGACATCTGGTGAGAACTTCATATATTCGGGAGAGGTGGGTACAGTAGTCTTCGTCATGGAGTAAAATATCATCAACCACCTTGACACAATTCGTGGCTCCTTGAAGGGCCGCATCACCACGTTGACAGAATGCATCGCCCGTAGCGGCAAATCCCATGGGGCCTCTGCAATACTGAAATCTTCCATATGGTGTGATGAATGTAGTCAAATGCTGGTCTTCTTTGGCCAACTCGATCTGCCAATAACCACAAAAGGCGTCCATCGTTGTAAAAACTTCGCCTTCGGGTCCACATTTCAAACAGCTGCGAAGGGTGTGGGTGAAGGGTGGGCTGGACGGGAAACTTGCTGGTTAAGTTTTGACAGATCGGTGGTGATCCGTACTCCACCACGAAGTTTGGCGACGGGGACGAGAGGGTGCCACAAAGGTGAAGGTTCGTCTCCGGCCGGCTTGATGATTCCCTGAGCAACCATGTAGTCAAGCTCTTGTCTAACTAGCTCCTTGTAGGCGTGAGGAATCAAACAAGGGGTGTGGATGGCAAAAGGTGTGGCACCATCCATAAGATGAATCTTCATAGGTGGACCCACCATCGCCTTGAGTGGTGTGGATCCTAAAGATTTCTTTGTAACCAACACGTCAGCAAACTCCTTGAGAAGGTAAGCTCTTGCATCAGAAGGGGACGTGTTAGTAGAGATAGGGAGTTCCTTCAACCTGTTGACATGGGTGACCTTTAAAATAGGTTTGGGGAATTCCTTGGAAATAATGGCCAACTCTTGACAAGTGCCATATGATAGAAGCGGAGTCGGGATCCCATCATGAACATCAATCCGGGCTGAGCAAGAACACTTACCAAAGGTAAGAGTAGCCCAGAAAGATCCCAAAGCTGGAGCCATATTGGAACCATCAGCTGTCAGTTTCGTTGTCTGAGGAGGGGCTGTAGGTTGCTCCGGGGTATTCCCAAACTTGTTGTGGACCAATTACTGAGACGTCAGCACTGGTGTCAGGTAACATCTGAAGACTGGATGACAAGTTACCGTGAGAAATGACGACACTGATGTGCTGGGGCGTCGTGTCTGTGGAACAATGTACACGACGGCAGGAACGACTGGACACAGCGCCTTGATGCTTGCCTGAAGGAGGGGGCATGCCAGCACTACCTGAGGATGACTTCTTGGATCCTTGGTGGTGTCCTCTCTGTGTCTTCTTACAACAACATTTGTCATAATGGCCCACACGACCACAAAGTCTGCACTGAACTTTGCTAGCAGCCCAGTGACCCTGACGGTTGCAACTTCTGCACACGCTTTGAGCAGCTGGGCACTGGGAGGCATCATGCTGTCTCGTGCAGCTGTTACACAAAGCTGCTGCTGAAGGTGTAGCTGGAGGGTGAGGGGTGGGGTTACCTTGCTGCTTCTTACCCTTTCTGTAGGAAGACACCGCCCTCACCTGGTCAGGTTGTGAGCGTAAAGCAGAAGTCGCACACCTGGCGGCCTCGTACGCTCGACATATTGTAACAACATCTTGAAGGGAGGAAGTGGGGTCAAGTGAAATGAGACGCTGAACTAGCTCTTCATCTCGAATACCCGTTAAAATGATTGTCTTGAGTTGTGTCTCTTCACAAACTTGATAATTTCCAGGACAAACATCAACTTCCTCTGAACATCTTTTCAGTCTTACAAAAAATGCATCAAAAGATTCTCCATCAAGCTGCTTACATTGGACGAGTCCTCTTCTTCTGAGTGCTTCGCTGCGCTGTCCCTTAACGTGTTCCTGTAACTTGTCGAGCACGGCCTTTACCGTCAGAGTTGTTGTAGGAGGCACTTGAAGTGTGTGCTCGAGAGTACGTTGTGTTTCTAAGGACAGGCACATACGAAGCTGTATCATCTGTTTAGGCTGTGGTAAACTTGACAGGTCAACCATTGTTGCATAGTCTTGCCAACGTCGACGCCATTCCCGAAATATCTGATAAGAAGCGTCAGACTTCAGAGAGGGAGGCGTTTGTGCTGCAGCCTTTTGAGGAATTGTTGAACCGACTCTGGGAAATGAGGTACCAGTGCCTCTAGTCGCATCAACATTAGTAGTGGCAGAAGAATCTTGTACAGTAGATGTTGTGGGGAGGCTAACAGGGAAATCAAGACTTCAAATCTGGCTTGATCCTCTCTTCTTCTCAGGTCATCCTCACTGCTACGTATATCTTCTAGTTCTCTGCGTCTTTGTTCATCTTCGTGGCATCGTCTTTCAGACTCTCTGTACCGAATTTCTTCCTCTTCTCTCCTTGCAACATAGTCCTGGCGTCGAAGTTTCCATCCACTTAATCAGTTGAAGGAGATCTGTGGATGCAGGCACCGCAGGAGAGCTTGCTCGCGACGAATGAGGAGATTCTGTGGGTGATTGGGCGTTGTCACTGTGGGGAGCGTGGGCCCTGAGTGTGGGTGGGGAGAGGTCTCCCAAGCTTAAATTCATAACCCCATCATCGAGGGTATCATTTTGATCCCTGTGAGACATGCTGACAGCTTCTGTACTCTATCTGTGCAAGAGACCGGGTCAACCCCTCGTAATCTATGCACAGAATTACAGAAGTCTAAAGTAATACACAAGAATTTAATATAAAGTGGGCCTGTGAGTACGTGTGTGTGTGTGTGTGTGTGTGTGTGTATGGCTTGTTGCCGGGAGGCTTGGCGCGCTGCCAGACGTAGAGGCAGCTGGGCGCAAGTCACAGCTGAACCGAAGTTGTCTTAATGCGCGCTGCTCAGTTACCCAATGACCGTAGGCGGGAGGGGTTGTACTGCTGGGCAGCTCCCTCAGTCATCTGACTGCAGTTTGCAGAGACAATTCTGATTAAAATACACAACACAGCACTTCACAGAACACTTCACTTCACAGCACAGCACTGTACACAGCATAGCACTTCACAACACTGTAAGTCCTGAGGCTTGTAGTCTGGCTGTAAATCCTTGGTGAAGCTAAAGACCAGACGCCATTAACACAGTCCGGCGGGAAGGCTGAATTCACTCTGAATCTCACTGAGAAATCTCACTGCGCCATCTATGTTTGTCTTTGATACCCCCAAAATGTTCTACACTACTGAGGGTATGCACAAACACTTGTTATCTTGAAAATAGGTTCTTATTCTCGTACGGGATATATACAGAGGAACTAATAGACAGTCGGTTTCCACACCTTAAGGACTAGCGATCTCCACTCTCTGTATCACTCCGCGTTGGCATGTATAGATGCCAGCATTCACAAGCTGAATACATAATATGTAAATATGATAATTCACATACATAACATGGCGCATAATAAATGGAAATAGTACATAGGATTAATACATACTTTACTGTACATAATTAATAGAGTAATATAAGAATACACAGCTTAAGGTACTACTTCGTGTCCATATTATACAGTTGACTCGTAAAAATGGGCACAAAGATTCTGAAGCCTTCTTATGAATCACGTTACTATCGATCGAAAAATTTTTGTGTTGCTGGTCCTTAATCCAAATGTTGTGCTTTTTCTGTTTTTACTATGTTCTTGTCACGAACAACCTGTGCCACTTTAGCACTTGCAGGAGCAGTTGTTTGAGCAGAATCACGAATTACTTGTTTATTCTTTTTTATGTGCCGCACTGTGGATTTGTTCACACCAAACAACTGACCAGCCGCGGCAGCACGCATCCCCTCCTTTAACTTGTCTAATAATTCAACTTTCTTTGCCATTTACATTTCACTCCACGTGCATCACTAGCACTGACACTAGGCAGTCTTTTAGGGGCAATTTTCACACAGAAACACTAAAGTTTTGAGAGTACAACACGAGATGCTATGTCACAGGCAATGGCTGCGAACAGAGGGAGAGGAGACGCTGCGGGTGCGTGGGATAACTCATTGCGCTGCAGGAGAGGCTCGCAAGCTAGCCACCACAGCCACCATCTGCTTACCACGAATCGTAGAAATTGCGAATTTCAAACCCGCAAATGGCAAGGGTTTACTGTATATCCATTTGTTGGTTTTCATTCCTAATCTCTTACACCCACACAGCTGCCCTTTCTTGGACTACACTTCCCCATTCTTCTTCTCCCAACCCCCACCCCCACTTCCACCTTGTTTCCATTCTTTTTTTAAATCTTTCACCAAGCATACACTTTCCCTACATAACTTACCTAATACAAAATTTGACCTCATATCAGCTGTACAATGGATTAAAATCAACATCCATGAGTGCAATTTCTGAGGTAAAAAATAAAGTCATGAATAATGGTGACTCAATTTCAAATGAGTCAAGACAATGGAATTTGAGTGAGATTGAATGAAAACTTAAAAAAATATGTTTAATTACTCGAAATGTAAATTTAGTGGTCATCAAAATAGGACCTTGTTAAAAGGCATAAAAATGAGCATATAAAACATGCCACATAAAGATAAGAGTTAAGATACTGTACCGTAAAAGGTAATCATAAATTCCAGTAATATACTGTATTGTATTGTACTTCAAAACTTATTTACCTGAATATCTATAGAATCTCCATTTTCTTGATTGGGATATAATACTGAGTAGTCTGTTTCTTCAGGCTGGGGAATGAGTGGTTCCGGAAGTTGTGAATTGTCTACACATTCATCAAATTTTGATCGTTTTCTTGGTGGTCCATGATCCCATTCTGCAGCAGGAACTTCACATTCCTCTTTCTTTGGTGCTTCATCAGGTACTGCCAGACCTTTTATTTTGAGACACTCAGCAGCTCGTAGTAACCCTGGTAGATCCCTCTGTAAGACCTGTAATTCAAGAGCCAAGTGAGGATGATATTTTCTCCTATTTTGGCTAACAGATAATAATACTTGCAGAAAGTGTAAATGTGAAACTATTTTATTGTATGAGCAAAACCCATCCATTCATATCGTTTGTACTCAGTTTCCCAAAATTTTATTGAAAACTGTTGGAAAATTCAAAGATACATAATTCTACTTACAAAAGGCCTAACAATAAGCCAATAAGTCAATTTGACTAATTTCCGTTCACACAGAAAGAGTCAGGAAGAGTCACGTTTGTCAGTATCCTGTCAGATGTAAGCGGTATGGACACACATTCTCTCGCAGCCTCGCATAATCTGTTGTGAATTCAGCGGCGTAGGAGGAAGAGGAACAGAGTATGGGTGCATGAACTCAACACCAAAAGACCAGATTTTGGTGCCTTTAGTCATTTATTCCCAGCCTTGGTGAACCATCCAGACAAATTCTACCATTTCTCTAGAATAACAGAGATCATAGAGAGCAGGACACTCCCAAACAAGATTTATAAAATCCTCCACCACAACGGACTCGTGATGACTGATGAAAAAATGGGTCTGGCCGTTTTCATGAATCGACTCGACTATGTGTGACTCGAATCGACTCAACCCCCCGGGTGTGAACAGCTTCTGCAAAATTACAAACAAAATAATGTCCTTTTGAATGGCGAGTCACGTAGAGTCAAGACTCGATGTGACTTGACTCGTTTGGTGTGAATGCAGCCTAACTCTGGGAAAATGGAAACACTTTGTTACACGTGCCCAGGGCAATAGGTAGGTGTGTGCGTGCGTGCGTGCGTGCGTGCGTGCGTGCGTGTGTGTGTGTGTGTGTGTGTGTGTGTGTGTGTGTGTGGGAACTGTGTCTACCCCATCAATAGTTGGCCTTTTAACTTTCTTTATACACTGTAGTTTATATAAGTGGCAATTTAATTTTCTTTATAGTTTCAATAGTTGGACACTCAATTGTCAATATTTTTTTATAGCTATGTTATGAGCACAGGTATGGGACTGTCTATCTGGAGTCCCGTTTCCAGAACGCTTGGAAAATGGGCTATGTTCTGGAACAAATTATTTAAATTGAACGCCAATTCCCAAGCAACAATTTTGTTTTGATGGTGACACCGACACCATCGCCAGCAGTTCAAACCAGTGATTTATACTTGATTACTTAAGTTTGGATATTTGGTTTCACAAATTTCACTGCAAAATCACCTTGCGGATGATGCCAAATTATTCAAGGAAATTAAGAACCAAATAGACTGTGAAGAGCTACAGAAAGATCTCTGTCAGCTTCAAGAGTGGTCGAAGAAATGGCTGTTAACATTCAATGTCATGAAGTATAAGAGGATGCACCTGGGACGTACAAACAGTAAAGAAGTGTATCACACATCCCAACGGGATGAAGAAACAGCATCAGTAGAGACCGAATGTGAAAAGGACCTTGGTGTGTATGGTGACAACGAACTGAAGTTCTCGGCCCATTGTGAGAAGAAGGTGAATCAAGCAACTAAACTAGTAGGTCTTATAAGAAGGTCGTTCAGATATCTAGACGGTCCGTCCCTTATGACGATCTTCAAGAGTAAGGTGCTTCCCCGCCTGGAGTACTCTCACTCCGTCTGGTCCCTGAGATATGCTAGAGACTGTCAGTTGATTGAAATTGTCCAAAGGGGGGCCTCCAGACTGGTGTCGACACTATGGCACCTCAGTTATTCAGAGAGATTAGAATGCCTATAACCAAGCTTATACTATAGATGGGCAAGGGGTGACCTATTTGAAGTTTATAAACATCTCCGAGAACACTACAGTGATCCCTCGGTTAACGAACGCCTCGGTAAACGAAATTTCGGTTAACGAATTACCTTCTGTAAGAATATTCAATTCAGTTAACGAACAAAAATTCGGTTAACGAAATTCTTACGAAAACATGTCACCATGTTTTTGCTTGCTCACCAGCTGGAATATTAGTCCGCCAATACAGTAATCGGTTCTAGGGCTTAAATTCGTTCCCATTTGAGAAAATATCAAGAAGGTTGTGCTTTTAAACATTTTTCAAAGTTTTATATTAAAATTATTAGTAATTTTAACACTTATTTAACATAATTGCAGTACAGGAAACTAGTTTTTGGTGTGCCAATCAGCCACTTCACTCACCCACCAAGGCATCAGTTTGTATCTCTGGTCAGAGGAGGTAACATCTTGCTTGTGGCTCTCTTGAACATAAATATTTTTACATTTTTACAGTACAATTATTGGTTATTCTCAAATTTATTTAACATATTGATAATATATAGTGTAGTGCAGTGTTGATTTAAAGAAAATAATCTTTATTTACAGCAATTAAACTTAAAATTTTAGTGGTGAAATTGTTATTGAATCCAGCATGGGTCCAAAGAAATCTAGAAAGGCAATTTCAATCAAGGTGAAACAGGAAATCATAAGGAAACATGAAGAAGGCATTAGAACAAATGTGCTTAGTCAAGAATATGGCATGTCGGCATCAACTGTGTCAACAATTCTTGCGCAGAAAGACAAGTTTAAAGAAGTGAAAGTGAGAGACAAATCTACCAGAGTTTTTAAAGGTAGGTCCTTAATTGCAGAAACAGAGAGGTTACTTCTCATTTGGATTAAGGAAAAACAAATGAAAGGAGATTCAATTTCGACTGAAGTTATTTGTGAAAGAGCCAGGGAAATCTACGAACATTTGAAAGAAGAGCAACCTAGTTCTTTTGGCACAGAGTTTGAAGAGTTTAGAGCCAGCAAGGGCTGGTTCGAGAAATTTAAGAAAAGAAGTGACATTTTCAGTGTTATTAGGCATGGTGAGGCTGCCAGTGCAGATAAAGAAGGAGCAGCAAATTTTGTAGTGAGTTTAAGGAACTGGTGGAGGAAGAAAACTATCTTCCACAGCAAGTGTTCAATGAGGACGAAACTGGGCTGTTCTGGAAGTAAATGCCCAAAAGGACATTCATCACCAGATGAAGCCTCTTTACCTGGGCATATACCCATGAAGGATCGTCTCACTTTTTTATGCTTGGTGCCAAGGTTTCAGGGGATTTCCGACTGAAGCCTATGCTTGTCTACCACTCTGAGAACCCCAGGGTGTTCAAGCAACAAAAGGTGGTAAGAGGACAACTTGGAATTTATTGGAAATCCAACCGTAAGGCATGGGTGACAAGACAGCTCTTTAATGAATGGGCTGTTGAGGTGTTTTGCCCTTCTGTGAAGAGCTACCTAACCACCAATAAACTCCCTTTAAAGGCTCTTCTCCTTATGGATAATGCCCCTGGTCATGACCCTGTAGTACATTTTATAAAAAAAATTCTACTGTATTTTTGGGTAGATTTACATAAATTTCTTCATTTATTTTCATACATTTACATGCACACACCATACTAAAAGAAACGTAAAAGAAATACTGTACAAATGGAGTGCACATGTACTAATTTGATTACGGTACTAAAATTGTTATGTCTAGTGCGAATTACAACATGTTTATATTCAAATAAATCAGTATCTTACAAGAATCCCAGCTATGTTAATTATATTCTCCTAGGTCATATCACTGGCATTTTAAAATGAGAGAAGCTTAGTAGGACTGTTAAATAAACACACAGAGACCTTCGCCTCAAACTTATCACCTCAACCCCCCCCCCCCACCAACCCCTCGCTGGGTGGCGTGGCTGGCTATGTCCCTCCCCCAGCCAGGCTTTTAGGCTTACAGTTTTTATCTTATATAATATCTCAGACTAAAGTTAGGAGATTATAATTTGCATTGCTGGAATCCTTGCAAGACAGCCAATAATTTGAATATAAACGTCATATATTTTGCTCGAGATAAAAATTGTTGTACATTAGTGTACAGTGCTATAGTACATTTTATAAAAAAAGTTTTTCAACTGTATTTTTGGGTAGATTTACATAGATTTCTTCATTTATTTTCATCCATTTACATGCACACACCATACTAAAAGAAACCTAATAGAAATAAATGACCTTAGTGCAAAGCTGGAGTGCACATGTACTAATTTGATTACGGTACTAAAATTGTTTTGTCTAGTGCAAATTATAGCATGTTTATATTCAAATCAATCAGTATGTTACAAGAATCCCAGCTATGTTAATTATATTCACCCAGGTCATTTCACTGGCTTTTTATAAGAGAGAAGCTTAGTCACCTAAGAACTGATAAATATACACAAGTTAGACCTGGGCCTGTGCCAACTGTCAAACGTACTACCTCCCCTGCCCCCACGCCCCCTCGCTCGCTCCCACCCTCTCTCTCCCGCATCTGCTTGGCATTGCTGGAATCCTTGTAAATAAGTGAATACTTTTAATATAAACGTCATGTATTTTGCACAAGAGAAAAAAATTAATCACCTGTATCACATTACAGTAGTGATTTAAGAGTAAAAGTGTATATGTACGTATACAGTCAACCCTCGCTTTACGCGGTCCCACATTCCGCGTTTCCACGTTAACGCGGTGCCCTGCCAGAACCTAACGTGCTCACATTACGCGGTGCGTGAACCCCATTACACGGAGAGTGTTCGGCGCGACACTATTTTTAGATTCGCCCCACCCGCCTGCCTGCCTGTGCTCTCGCCTCTCCCTCCTCCTCCCTCCCTCCCTCCTCCCTCCGCCTGGGCAAGCCGCGCGGTAAGGTTGCGCAGTGTGTGTCTTTGTTGCGTTATCACTGACGTCATATGACGTATCGGACTGTGATTGGCCATGCATCCCTACCCCCCTCTGCTGCTAGCTGTAATTGGCTTTAAGTATTATGACGTGTCCACCCGGGGGAGGGAGGGAGGGAGGAAAGACAATGCTTGACCTAGCCGCGCCAGTTTCATCCCTCCAGGCCAGACCGTGTAAACGTGTATCCATTGTTCTGTAAAATGGCTTCCGCCAGACCACTGCCCCCAGAGAGAAACCTTTCCTTACCTGGACCCAGCGGCACTAAGCCAAAGAAGACACGACGTTCCTTAAGCTACGAGG